GGCCTTCACCCTGTTATTGACTGTGTCCATGGGTTATGCATATATGCATATAACTTCTTTGGTTAATCTCTTCCCACCCTCCACCCCTCTTCCCTCTGAAATATGATCGTTTGTTACATGCGTCAGTGTCTCTGGATGTATTTAGTTCGTTAGATTCTTTTGTTCATTAGCTTCTTGTTAAAGAAGACCCTTCAACATTTCCTGTAGTGCTGTTTTGGTGGTGGTGAACTCCTTTAGCTTTTCCTTGTCTGAGAAGCTCTTTACCTGACCTTCAGTTCTAAATGATAGCTTTGCTGGGTAGAGCAATCTTGGTTGTAGTTCCATGTTTTTCATCACTTTGAATATTTCTTGCCACTCCCTTCTGGCCTGCAAAGTTTCTGTTGAGAAACCAGCTGACATTCGTATGGGTGCTCCCTTGTAGGTAACTGCTTTTCTCTTGCTGCTTTTAAAATTCTCTTTGTCTTTAACCTTTGGCATTTTAATTATGATGTATCTTGCTGTGAGCCTCTTTGGGTTCCTCTTGTTAGGGACCCTCCGTGCTTCCTGGATTTGTAAGTCTATATCCCCAGGTAGGGGGAGTTTTCAAATAGGTTTTCAATTTCTTGCTCTTTCCTCTCCTTCTGGCAACCCAATAATACGAATGTTGGGCCTCTTAAAGTTTCTGGATTCTTTTTTCCTTTTGCTCTTCTGTTTGGGTGTTGTTTGTTTCTTTATGGTCCAAATTGCTGATTTGATTCTCAGCATCCTCTTCTCTACTGTTAATTCCCTGTAAATTGTTCTTCATTTCAGTTCATGTAGCATCAGTTTTCTAAATTATTTTCATCATACTCTTACTAATATCCTTGAGCATCCTTATAACCATTATTCTGAACTCTGTATCTGTTAGCTTGCTTGGATCTATTTCATTTCGTTCCTTTTCTTAAGATTTCTTCTGTTCTTTCCTTTGTCACGTTTCTTTGCCTCCGCATTTTCGCTGGTTCCTAGTATTTGTTTCTATGAATTAGGTAGAGCTGCTATGTCTCCTGGAATTTGTAGAGTAGCTTTGTGTAGTAGGTGTCCTGCATGGTCCAGTGGCTCAGCCTCCCCAGTCACCTGAGCTGGGCCTTCTAGGTGCTCCCCTTTGTGGGCAGTGTGCACTGTCCTACTGTAGTTGAGCCTTGGTTGCTGTTGGCGTCNGGTGCTCCCCTGTGTGGGCTGTGTGCACTGTCCTGTTGTAGTTGAGCCTTGGTTGCTGTTGGCGTCACTGGGAGGAACTGACCCCCCAGGCCAATCAGCTGTGAGGACCAGCTGCAACTACAGCCAGAGAGCTGCTGTGCTGTAGACACCCCTATGGAGCAGAATTTACTTCAGTGGAGCTTTGGTGGTCCCCAAGTACGCCCCTTGAGTGTGTCACTCGTGGATGTGGTAGGGTTGTAATCCAGTGTGGTCAAGTCTGACCGCCAGATGCACTGTCTCTGAGGCCTCCCGGGAGGTGCAGAGTCAGCCTCTGCCAGTGCCTTGCCCAGGGCCACCCAGCATGAGCTACACAGCAAACCGTAGTTGGCTGCTACTTGTGCTGGGCTTGGAGGTGTCCAGGAGAGGCCAAGCTGTGAGCCAATACAGGCTGCCACTAGTGCCAGGCCTGGAGCCACTTATCAAGCCATATAGGGGACGCTGCTGCTTGTTTGAGAGATTTTAGGAAAGTCCTAAGCATGAGGCTTGAGAGGCCACTTGCCCAGAAAAGCCACTGGAAATGGCCTAGATGAGCCTGCAGGTGGGGAGGGGCGGGGTCAAAGGTGTAAGCCAGGTGCTGGCGATTCAAATATGACGCCTGCCTGCTGGCTGTGTGTGGGGAGGACTCACCAAAGGAGCAGTGGCGTCCGCCAGCTCTTCTGCCTGGGAGAAAGCTGCCCCTCCAGCTCTCGCCCTGATTTCAGGCAGGTTAGTTCCTCCCCGAGTGTCCCAAAACCTTTCAAGCTGCTGCCCGGCGCTGGGCTCAGACGGAGCGCGTCTGAGTGAGTCCGTGC